GCTTCTGATTACCCCCTTTCCCAATCTGCCCTCTTCTCTATCATCCCCCTACTCTTTTGTCGCCTTCCTCCCCTATTTTCCTATACAGATTTCCATACCCAATTGAGTGTGCGTTATTTTCTCCTTAAGTCAAATCCTATGAGAATAGGATTCACTCATTCCATCTTACCTTCCCCATTTCCCCTCCACTGTAAGAGCCTTTTCTGTTTTTTTTTTTGTGAGATAATTTACTCTGTTCTATCTCTCCCTTTCTCCTTCTCCTAGTATAATCCTCTCTCACCCCTTAATTTTATTCTCCAGATATGACCCCTTCATCTTCAACTCACCCTGTGTCCTCTGTCTATCTATCTATTCTATCTATCTATCTATCTATCTATCTATCTATCTATCTATCTATCTATATCTATATCTATCTATCTATCTACATATATATACATACATATAATTTTTTCCCTCCAACTACCTTAATACTGACAAAGGTCTCATGAGTTACAAATATCACCTTTCCATGCAGGAATGTAAACAGTTCAACCTTAATAAGTCTCTTATGATTTTCTCTTTCCTGTTTACCTCTTCATGTTCCACTTGAGTCTTGTATTGGAAAGTCAAATTTTTTATTCAGCTCTGGTCTTTTCATCAAGAATGCTTGAAAGTCCTCTATGTCACTGAATGACCATTTTTTTCCCCTGAAGGATTATACTCAGTTTTGCTGGGTAGGTGATTCTTGGTTGTAATCCTATCTCCCTTGCCCTCCGGAATATTATATTCCATGCCCTGCGGTTCCTTAATGTAGAAGCTGCTGAATCTTGTGTTATCCTGATTGTGTTTCCACAATACTTGAATTGTTTCTTTCTGGCTGCTTGTAATATTTTTTCTTTGACCTGGGACCTCTGGAATTTGGCTACAATATTCCTAGGAGTTTTCCTTTGGGGATCTCTTTCAGGAGGAGATCGGTGGATTCTTTCAATTTCTATTTTGCCCTCTGGTTCTAAAATATCTGGGCAGTTTTCCTTGATCATTTCTTGAAAGATGATGTCTAGGCTCTTTTTAAGATCATGGCTTTTAGATAGTCAAATAATTTTTAAATTCTCTCTCCTGGATCTATTTTCCAGGTCAGATATTTCTGATATTTCCAGTGAGATATTTCACATTGTTTTCTAATTTTTCATTCTTTTGGATTTGTTTTACAGAGTCTTGATTTCTCATAAAGTCACTAGCTTCCAATTGCTCTATTCTAATTTTTAAGGAAGTATTTTCTTCAGTAGTCTTTTGGACTTCCTTTTCCGTTTGGCCAATTTTGCTTTTTAGGGCATTCTTCTCCTCATTGGCTTTTTGGACCTCTTTTGCCATTTGGGTTAGGCTATTTTTTAAGGTGTTATTTTCTTCAGTATTTTTTGGGGTCTTCTTTAGCAAGCTGTTGACTTGTTTGTCATAATTTTCTTGCATCACTCTCAGTTTTTCCTCTACTTCTCTTACTTGCTTCTCAAAATTCCTTTTGAGCTCTTCCAAGGTCTGGGACTGATTCATATTTTTCTTGGAGACTTTGGGTATAGGAGCTATGACTTTGTTGTCTTCTTCTGGTTGTATGTTTTGATCTTCTATGTCACCAAAGAAAGATAATATAGTCTGACTCTTACGATCCCAGTCAATTACTTGAGTTTTAAACTCTTTGTTAAGGTAAGAGTCTGCTTCCAATGTGGAGAATGTACTGTCCCAGGCTTTGGGGGTTTGTATAGCTGTTTTCAGAGGTATTTCTAGGGACCTATAAATTTTCAGTTCTTCCAAGGTGGTATGATAAGGGGCAGGGTGTTTCCTCTCCACCGCCACAACAAGCTCCACCAGGCCAGTGCTCCTCCTCGCCCCAGGACAGCCCCTCAGAACTGTGACCCAGATCCAAGCACTAGTAAAGCAAGAGATTCCTGCCCCAGCACTGGCAGAGAGATCCCTGCAATCCCCCTCAGATCAGCCACTCGATTCCCCCTCAGTCTGTGGGCTGGAAGCTCAGGAGGCAGCTGCTGCCCCAGAGGCCACACTTGGGACTTGCGGCTGAGACCTAGCTCCTTCTCTCACCGCAGTCAGAGTTTTCCCACTGACCTTCTAAGTTGTCTTTGGTGTTCCTGGGTTGAGAAGTCTGGAAACCGCCACAGCTTCCTGAGATTCAGTCCTCTGAGGCCTGCTCCAGGGTTGCTGCGGCCTGCTCGCTCACGCTGAACTGCGCTCCTCTCCCCAGCCGGCGCAATATACCTTCCCGATCAGCCATCCAGGTTGTCTTGGGCTGGAAATTTATTTCACTCTGTCTTTTTGTGGGTTCTGCTGCTTTAGAATTTGTTTAGAGCCATTTTTTATAGGTATTTGGAGGGGTTTCGGGGAGAGCTCAAGCAAGTTACTGCTTTCACTCCTCCATCTTGGCTCTGCCCCCCCCCCCAGATGAGAAGTTGTTAGACAAAATCACCCAGCTAGTTAGAAAAGTATCAGAGCCAAGATTTCAGCCTAAGTGTGTCCACGACAAATCAGTACTCTTCTCCTCTGCCATATAGTTTAATATACATCATGCCAGCTCCTGTTGTAGTAGCAAAAATTGGAAACTAAGGAAGTATCCATCCACTGGGGAGTGTTATAGCATTTTGGTGTGCTATAAGAAGTGAAAGACAAGCACAGTTTCAGAGAATCCAGGGAAGATTTGTCTCAGCTGATGCAGAGGGAATCAGTCGAGCCAGGAGGACAGTGTAGTACGGTGACAACAACACTGTAAAAGACCCAAGAAGGAGCTCTGAGCTGTGTAGTGATCAACCATGGTTCTAGAGGACTGATGACCAGTGGTCATCACTGTTGACAGAGAGGTAGGGAGGGGATGGCTTCAGAGTGGAGAGGGAGGCCTCTGTTTTTGGCCTTGGCTAATTTGGTCATTGGTTTTGATTCACTGTACATATTGATTATAGAGATTTTCTTTTTCTTTTTTTGTTAGGGAGGAGGGAGAGGAGGTGGCTTTTTGCTAATTGAAAAAAAAATTTTTTTAAGGGGAAAAATAACCCCTTTCCCACCCCCCACCCTCCAAACTCACAGACACATTGTGCTGCCTCTTTAAGATAAGGCTCCTTCAGTAATTCATCTTTGTATCTTCAGTAGCACCTAGTACAGTGTCTTATATAACAGCAACTCAAGTATTTGTTGAATTCATAAATAGCAGTGTTTAAGGAATTCTTGGTCAGATGTGGATTATCTTAGATGGCCTCTGATTCCCTTCCAATTCAGATTTTATGAAAAGAAAAACAAAGACTAGAGTAGAAGGTATGGTACATGAGAACGAGAACTGTTTTTCATTTTGTTTTTGTAGCCTGTGTGCCTTGCACATAGTAGACATTTAATAAATTCTTGAATTAAATTAAGAAGAAAAGTGCTGAGGAAAGTGGCATGGCTAAGTGGCTAATGTTGAGTCATGAACTTATTTACTGTATCCTTCAGCACTTCCCTATTTTTCTTAAAGGATTTTTTTTTAATTTTTATTTTTAGACAATTGGGATTAAGTGACTTGCGCAGGGTCACACAGCTAGTTAAGTGTCAAGTGTTTGGTCTGAGCTCGGATTTGAACTCAGGTCCTCCTGACTCCAAGGCC